CCTCATTATTGTTGGTTTGTTTGTTTTGTGGTAATAAAAAAAGGTAGATTGATCTTAATATGTATTAAACCAGGAAAATTCTTGACCACTTTCTTAAACCTATACCAGTGAAGACAATGAAAAGAACAAACAAGCAAGGCATGCAGTCAAGCATAAGGAGCTTAATGACCCCACAAAATCAAAATCAAAAAGTAGTCTTGTGGCATTTATTTCACATCTATTAGTTCTGGTGCTTGTGTATTCCTAAAAGTTGCTCCTAAGACAAACGAAACATACAGCCACTAAGATCTTAAATTTAAATATCTGAATAAAAGTCGCAGTTGGTCTTTGTATCTGGCAGGATTTGCTCTTTGTATTGGACTCCAAAATTGTGCATTGTGGCTGGGTGGGCACGAACGCAGGTCCATGTTAGCCCACCCGGAGTTATGTGCCTGCTTTATACGCACTGTTGTGGGTAACTGCTCAATGCATCTGTGATGTGGTGGCAAAGATTTTTAGGAACTTTTGGGTCTCCAAGCACATTAAGTTCCCATGGTGATAATGGCAAGCAAAAGGTAAAAAAAAGACTTACGGTCCACTTCATTTCCTCCAAAGAAATCACATATTAGTCTTCCATCTCCCCTACTGTTGTGGGAATTTTGGCAAGACCTAGTAGTGCTGAATTAAAAGGGTAGGGAGTTGAAGGAGACAGAGATGCCAACTCCAGTTCCAATATTAGTCATGTCATGCAACAGTGAATAAATAAATAAATAAATAAATAGCATGCCCACATGATCCTTCAGAAATCGTTCTAAGATGCTAATTTGGTGCTCAATGTTTTTACTATTATAAATGTTGTGCTGCTTAATATTTTTGTAGGAACTGATTTTTTTTTCAGGATTCTCTAATGAATGAAAGTATTACTTTCTTTAAAAATAAAAATCTTACTGACCCCAGCGGTAGTGTATATAGTCATATGTTATTTTTATATAGGCCTAATGTTTACAAATAATTTCATTAAATACTTCAATTATAAAATAATAAAAAAAATTCTTACAATTATAAAACCTTTTTTTAATGTCACAGGATAAAATGTGACAGCATAGTACAAAAAAGTATTAATTGTACAAGCTGTACGTGCACTGCACTTTAAACTACCAGCACCAACGTGTTTCTGAGAACATTCATACAGCATTTACAGCTACAACCGCAGGTGGTTGCCCAATACTTTGTCTATCACCTTAAAAGATTCAATAAACGATCTGGCAAGTCAGATCAAGGAAAAATCCCCAAAGTATGAAGCCAGTTTACATTCCTCTTAATAGGTCAGCCTTTGATTCCAAACAACGTTAAGAGCATATCACTGGCTGTGGTAATTCATTTGTGGCTCCATAGTTTATTTGAGTAAGCTTTCTCCACCTGCCTACACTCTAGGCTCTCCCCCAGAGCAACATGTACAGACTTGTGCTGGGAGCAACTCAAACATCAACTTTTATTTCCCTCCTCTGAGCTTTTCCCTTTCCTTTTTCATGCACTGTACATGCTGAGAAAATATTTTAATTGCCCATCCACCTTCAAAAGAATCCCCGCAGAGAGGCAGAAATTACGTAAAGCAGTGATTAAGTGATTTCGTCATACACATTTGTTCATGATGGCAGGAGATTTACAGTGGTGTTTGTAGTTTCTGTGCCATAAACATTTTTAGTGAATTCTGATAAACAATGTTCATGTTAAAGGAATAATAAGAACGCAAAATATTACAAGTATCATAAAAGTGTAGTCATACAACATGTGTGCTATATTTCTCCTCTACGCAGAATAGTTTGGTACGAGGAACAGACTGAAATTTAAGGTGTTATTCCAATGTCAAACTTTGATTCAATGTATCAATTAAAATATAGTTCACAAAACCAGTCTGCATGGCTGCATCCGAAATCACATACTTCTGTATATAGATGAAAAACGGTATTGTGAACAGAGTAGTTTGTCCAGATTTACAGTATTCCTAATTTCCAGTGAGATTTTGAAGTGTACATCCAATGAACACTTTACTATTTTAAATGGAAATGAAGCGACACAACTGATGCTGGTATGTCACATGACAATGACAGCATTGACAAAATGTAGTACTTCTGGAATGCATTCATAATACACACATTCATACTATAGAACATACATTTTAATGGCACTAAAGTAATTATTCAAAAGAAGTACCTACTCAAGGAGTATGCAATTTCAGATACAGCCTATATTAATTTGCGAATTTGAATGAGTTCTCGAGTTCAGCTCACTGACACAATGATCACAGCAATTCCTCAGTTAACAGCCCACCAGAGAGGATTAACAGTGAATAGGCTTTTACATTTTTATAATGAAAATAGAAAACTGTATGTTTTTTTTAAATAACGTTTACTTTGTTGCAATAAAACAAAACTATTTACAGCACCAGCAACAGTATAAACTTGTTGCTAAAACTCTTTGTTATTTAGTATTAACAATAACTCCACATGTATGTGCAATAAAATTATTTTGTTTCTGCTCAGTGGGTCTACGTGACATTTATAAAGTCTATTGAGAACGTACAAACAAAAAAATATTGCTATAATGCGCTGTGTATATTTTAATTTCAGTGTTTGGTTAAGATGTCACTGCATTTGTGTATGGCTGAGTGAAACGTGGATACGATTTTAATTAAATCCTCTGTTTATTTTGAAATGCACTGTAAATAAGCGCTTTGTACCGTCGGCTTTGGATCAGTTTCTGTTCATAGTATAGAAATCTAGGCCGAAAATACTCCGAAAAATCATGCCATTAGGAATGAATTCTGTAAAATATACAGAGCTAACGTAGCAGTGTCTGTTTTTAAGTCAAGTTTCTGGAGGATTCAGTGAAAAAGAAAAAGTTAATTTGAGGTTTACACACACTTGCCCACCAATCTATCAATAATCATCTGAAGCTCCACCAAAAAGTAACTGTATCCCTCATATTGCACAAAGATCTAACTTCAGGGGTCAGAAACTACAAAGTAAAGGAAAGAAGTGACATTTTAATTTATAGCATCATCAGAAGCATGGACTTTAAAAGCAAGCTAACCCAAGATTCACACACACTCAAACGCTCAGGGTGATCCACTGAAACCTTCCAGGTGCTGCACAATGTAGTATTTTACAATATGAATAAAAAGCATTTGATGCAATTCATCACTGAAGCCTAGACTTATGTTTTTTATGGATTTTTCTATAATCCATGGACTTATGGATCTTTGTATCATTTATGTATGTATCTAAATAAAGATAACTAAGCACAGTACAATTTAGTCAAATGAACTAGTGTACTTCTAGCATTTAAGATTTTAAATATTATTAATCAGATAGTAAAAACATACGATTATAATTTGAATCATGTCACTCAATGAGCTTTTCAAGTAAGATACACTACTAACAAAATAAATAAATAAATAATTGTAATACATTGTTGAAAATAACTTAAGATATAAAGGTGAACCTATAAGACAGGGCTGTCCAAACTCGGTCCTGGAGGGCCGGTGTCCTGCAGAGTTTACCCTCATTAAACA